CCTTCACGCGCGTTCCGGCACTCAGCTGCTTTTCCTAGTCCTGCGGGGTCTAGGATTTGTGTCTTGCCTATTCCTATGAGGATTAGGCTTGTCACCTCAGTTTTGACTTGTGCCTCGCGCGTGTCGCCTAGCGCGTCTACTTTTACTCGGTCAAGACTCATGCCTGCTTGCGCGTCGCCTGTCTTGCCTAAGCCTACTAGGCCTAGGTCTTCGCCCATCCCGCACACGTCGCCAACTGCGCACGCAGCTCGCCCATGCGTCGTCTCTCCTTCGCCTGTTCCTACACCGCCTAGGCTTCGCGCGCCTGCGCACCACTCACTCCCCATCGCGCGCTCGCCCATCTGGTTACCCTGCTCTCGCGCGTCCTTGTCAACCACGCTGCTATTGCCCACGCTCGATAACTCCACGCTATTCCTGCGCCTGTCCACTGGACCGCGCGTCCCACTCAGCGCCCCAGCGCTCCGTTCGCCTACTGCGCGCCTACGTGTGCCCAGCGCTGTCCGCGTATCATCCAACGCCTGATGCGCGCTCGTCCATCTGCTGCAATCCCTCGTGCGCAATAACCTCCCGACATCCTCCCCTTGCGCACCACTTCGCCTAACCTCCAAACGCCTTGCGCGTCTACGCCAATGCGCATGTTCGCGCCCTCCCTTGCGGTCGTCCCACGTGCGCGTCTTGCACCAGTCGTCCGCGTTACCCGAGCCCGCTATCGTACATTCGGCCCCGGCCCATTGCGCATAGTCTTTCCTCCATTAACCTAATGTTGCACGCCGATGGACTACCTTCTCGCGTGCCCTTGCGCACATCCATGCGCTCGACCCTTCAAGCCTTGATCTCCCGAGCCTCTTGCTCGACCTCCTATGCCATTGTGCACGTCGGCACCCTCGTATATGGGCTCGTGCACGTTTCCTAGGCCATGCAAGCCTTGTTCTGGCCCTTTGCTTGGCCTTCTCGGATAGTATCGGCCTTCGGACCTTCTCATCTTCGAGGGTCAAAACCCACTTCCGTATCACGCGGATTTGGCATCGTGCCAGCTGAGGCTCGGCTGCTTGGGCGCGTGTTCGGTCCAGCGGTTCGACTTGGTTCCATATAACTAAAATAATAATAAACAGGCTCGATATTAAATTTACTAAACACGAAATTAAACAATTACAAGCACATAATTGCATTCTAATTAATAATTGAGCACGAATAAAATATACTGGACAATTTAAATAAATAATAATTTTATAGATAATCCAGAACAAATGGGGCGCTACAATTTTACTGGCTTTATGTTTATGCTTATGTTTGAACTGCTTCCGCTATGACTTATGTTTTCCTTCAAACTTATATTGAACGATTTGGAACATGTTCTGAACTGATGTTTCTGTTGAACTTTTTCTTGAAACGTGCATGATGATGATAATGGTTTGGATTATTTATGATTATGGTATTATGAATATGATTGATGTTCACGTGATATATGTGTTTGGGCAATGAGTTCGCATGTGATCATTTGGGCAATGAGACCCCATTGACTCAGATATGACTTGAGTTAATTGTAATAATGTTTGATAACGCCTTTTAATGTTCGATATCAAAAAATGAATTTCGAAAAATTAGCCTTGATTTTTTGAAAAGTCAGAAATTTTCTTTTAAAAATCATTGGGGCGTTTCAAGAACTGAGGTGGTTCAATACAAAACCATTAATCCAGTGACATCACATACGATATAACTTCTAATTTTTTCCATTGGCAAGTATTACTACCATATGAAAATTAAAGGTTTAGATACGACAGTCTCAATACACAAATGAAATTAGAAAGAAGTAGGAAATTTTCGAATAAGAAAAAACTCATGTGATCGTGTTAAGGAAATATTTATGGAGTGAAATATATGTCATTAAACATAATCCAATGCTTTTTTTAATTTTGTCATGCGCTTAAGCACTTTTGTTGATCAAACATAAAATATCTACAACATTATCAGTAGAGTAGCAAAGACCATGGCGATAGTGATGCTATAAGCACTAGAAGAAAGAGCTCCACTTTGGTTGGGTGCTGATGGGGGTGGCTGGTCGGGCACATTCGAGCAGTCGAGCCCTTTCTCCCCTTCTTTGCACAAGGCTGCAAAAAGTCCCGGTGGATATTTTCCGTACAGATTCACATAGCTAAAGAATGTGTCGGCACAATTGGTCTTGAGGTCATTGAATTGATCCTTTATGGGGCAGACCAGTTCTTTGAGTGGGTTGCAGCATCTTTCTGGTGTGTAGTTGGGACCTTTGCACTGGCTTGTTATAACTGTGTAATTCATGTTCTCAAAGTCCACAGGGCATGCTGCAGTTATTTTTCAAAAATAAAAAAAAATTGATGAAAGTCGATCGATTAAATAGCATATGTTATTTTGATGGAAAATAGATAACACTTAAATTGATGCATGAAATTGGCTAAAATTCATTTTTAGTACACTATGTTGGCCATTTTCTGAAAATGGTCCATCATATAGGGCGTCTTCAAGAATGGTCCACTAAGTTGTCATTTTTAATCAAAACTCATACAAAAGCCAACATAATGTACTAAATATGACAATTAAAAATGATCACTTTTAGTACACTATGTTGGTTATTGTACGAATTTTGATTAAATTGGCAATTTAGTGGACCATTATTGATGACGCCCTAGATGATGGACCTTTTTCAGAAAATGACCAACATAGTGGACCATTTTTGAAATTTTGCCCATGAAATTTGTAATTTGGTATAGAAATTAAAGGAAACACCATACAAGATTAGAACCATGATGTACACGATATCATTTGGGGAGAGCTCAAAATAGATTTTCGATGACCACAAACTACAACTTACTTGATTTTTGTTGCAAAAGGGAACGGCCAATGTACCCGTGTGGCTCAAGAACCTCATCTGTTTCCACCGAAATAAATAAATAAATAAATAAAAGAGGGAAAAATTAAAAGTGATACAAAATCATCAATTTCATGATCCGCATGCACTACCAAAACATCTTAATACATTGTCCTAGCATGCATGCAGTAATTTTTTTTCTTTTCTTCTCTTGTTTCTTCTTTTTTTTTTTCTAAAAACAAAGATTTCACAAATGGGTATATACATGTATATATATACATGAGATATATTATATATATGCATGAAAAAAATGAGTACTTACTTAAAATATATGATGAAGATGTGGAACAAAGCACAAGGAAGAAAATAATCAAATGCAACAAGGCCCGGGACGATAACCCCATTGTTATGTTGTCCCTTCGTCAGATCTTGATGGAAGGTGGTGTTTTTTCCCTCTTTTAAACAAAAACCATTTTATCTTAAGAGATAGGTATTCTTATTTTTAGTTATCTCTTTTTTTTAATTTGTTTCTTGTTTTGTAGTTATATTTTAGGTTGTTCCAGGGTATGATTTTGTGATAGGAGAGAAAAGTGGGAAAAGAACGAATCAAAGGCATATATAAAAGCAAGGGCAATATAAATGAATGGAAGAATTACAATCATAGAAGTGAAATGATTCCAAAAAGTTCTCCAATGGCATCATCTTAAGCATAAGGTATCATTGATCCCAATTTGCAAATTATGATGCCTACTTTTTCTCCATACATTTTAATATCAATAGTAAATGACACGTGCTATACACGTGGTAGAATATTTATTTTGACGTTATTGTTTTAGTGTTGATACCAATTTTTAAAGAGACAATTTATTTTACACAACAAATTATATACATAATCTATCTTTTACACGCTGCCCCATTAAAAAACATAATTTTCACTCCAAAATTCATGAAATATTATGAGACATAAAAATTACATCTCTAAATGAACCACATAATTAACAATTATGTAAGATATTGCCGTATACATACCAACGCATATCCAAATTGGACAGATAGTTAAATATTATGTGAATACTTCCGCATATGTCGTAATCCATATATCATAATCCACCGTATAATTTATTTTATGCGAAATTATTTTGCATATATAGTTATCAGATATTCAAAATTGATAGCTGCATATTTTACAATTATGCGTCATGTTTCTCATTGTTTACGACTCATTTACCATATGTGATAACATTTAACATTTTTTGTTATCGCATATCCAAATCAAACGTCGCATACTTTATGATTACGCGACATACTTTTGCATAGTTTATGAAGCACATATCCAAATCCACAGCTTAATTTCCTATGTGTGATAACGTTTCCATTTATGTTATTACCTATCTAAATCTAACGTCGCATATTTTATGTTATGCGACATGTCCGCTTAATTTATCATATGCGATAACATTTGACATTTATGTTCTCACATATCCGAATCAAAAATCATATATTTCATGATTATGCGACATATTTTTGCATAGTTTATGACGCACATTAATCGAATGTCACATATTTTATGTTATACGACATATTTTCACATAGTGTATGACTTGCATATCCGAATTCACTGAATAATTTATCATATGTGGTAATATTTAGCATATTGTGTTATCGCATATCCAAGTAGAATGTTGAATATTTTACGATTATGCAACAAATGTTCGCATAGTTTACGACTCGCATATCCAAATCTATAATGTCGTATAATTAATGATTATGCGTAAATATGTCGCATACTCAACAATCGCTATGTCTGCATATTCAAGAATCGTACATCCAAATCAAAAACCGCATTGATTGTCTGATTATTCACATAAGAAATCAGACAAATGGCATGTACCTACATTAGTTGTCGATGTATATATACCACCATTATTACTACTCATGAATTGAATTGCTAACCTTTCACTTCTTCAAACAAAAAACAAATAAAAAACCCTAACATGAGCAAAATCTTTAAACTCCGACGGTAGCTAAAAAAGAACAAAAAAATAAACAAACTAGGCACGTTTACTAAAAATATTGATAGAATTTCACGCAATAAGCAGAATGCAATACGCTTCTGTGGCATGGAGTGGACATAGGGTAAAAGTAAATAATATCATAGAATTACGAACAAAATGTGAGCTATAGCAGAATGAAAAATAAAATTATAAATAAGCGATATGTTATAATCGCCTATCAAGATCAACTGCATAGGTTACCACTCGCGCATTCAAATCTATAACGCCAAATAATCACTAATCACATATCTAAATCGAACGTCAAATAATTTACGACTAGCCGTCATTTTTTTGCATTCACATATCAACCTCATACAATTTACCGCTACCACCAGACCTGCCACAGCCCGTCAAGCGCCAGCTGGTACTCACGGTGAGAGAAGCCAGGTCGGCAGCAGATGGCTGGATCTAATGCTTCTCTGTCGAGAGGACAAAGTATAACTCCAACTCGTAGCCAGCATTGAGAAAGTGGATAAATTGTCGAGATTTTCGGGACATAAGAGGAGTAAGGGGAGTAGCAGAGGAAAAAAAGTGCGGGGATAGGGCTTCTGTGGCGAGGGCGGTGGCGAAGGTGACTGTGGTGGTGAAGACATGACCGACCGAGTTTGTGGTCATGGCCTACGGCAGAGTTTTTTGGGGGCTGGAGAGTTTTTTTAGGTTAGGTGTTTTTTTTGTTAAAAAATAATTAATAAACACTAAGGACCCAATTGCATTTTATAAATTTTAATATATTATAATTTAATATGTAAAGAAATTCTATAATTTAATAAAAGTTTAATACTACAGAAATAACACAATATTGTGTGAAAATATGCACACTAAAAATTCAACAATAATTTAACAAAATCGTAGAACTGCCACCGCCTACATATTTAAAAGTTCACAAATTCACCAAATTACTATCTTATTAGGCAGTTCATCAGTTGGTTCATTCAAACAAACTGATCAACCAAAATATCAAAACTAAAATAGTTGTGTTGAACCTTTGGAAAACCGAATCGATTGAACTTTTATTCTAAATCAAACTAAAATGAACGGAAATAATCATTTTATACGGTCAGTTAACCGAATTAGCCAAAATAACCGAAAATATTATTATTTATACTATAAATACAGAATTTGTATTTTAACATTTTTATTTGATATTTTATTTTTTTTGGCTTAAAAATTATATATATGTAAAAATTATAAAAAAATATATATATTTTTTATATATAGTTCAATCTGTTATTTTTTTTAAAAAAAAAACATAAGTTGAAACAGAACTGAAATAACTGAATTTTTAAAAGTAAAAATTGATAATTGAACCAATATGTAAAAACAGTACCGAAAAATTTATTGTGGTTGGTTTATTCAGTTTTAGTCGAACTTTGCATACTCCTATTCGCGCTACATGATGCACAACATCAATTAATTAAATACACATTAGTACATAAAAATGCATAATAGCATAAAATTGTATTTCCTATTTTTTTATGCTGAGTCAGTGTGCGGAATATAGGCTAATGTACATTCTCACATGTATTAATTTGCAATCCGTCTAACAATATTGTGCACACCGCCTAACAATATTGTGCATTTTCACAAATTTACCCAAATGCCACCACGCTTAGGGTTGTTCATTGACCGAACCGGCTGAACCCTCACATAAAAAGATAAAAAATGCCATTAATCACGCTTAAGAATATAGAAAGCCAGAGCAAGAGGGTCGATGTAATTGAAGAAAAAAATGCTCAATTGGTTGGCTCGACCGAAATAACTCTGTTGAACTTTTTGAAACATAACCGACCAACCTTTTATCTTAAACCAAATTGATTTATTCTGTTGGGTAATCGGATTAACCAAAATAATCAACTTAAATTATTATTTATATTATAAAATATATTTATTATATCTATTTTTTATGTTATACTATTTTTGACTGAAATACATTATATGTATATATATATATATATATATATATATATATATAT